TTCAAGCAATTCTCCTGCCTCAGCCTCCCAAGTAGCTGAGATTACAGGCATGCACCACCGTGCCTGGCTAATTTTGTATTTTTAGTAGAGATGGGGTTTCTCCATGTTGGTCAGGCTGTTCTTGAACTCCTGACCTCAGGTGATCCATCCGCCTCTGCCTCCCAAAGTGCTGGGATTACACATGTGAGCCACCACACCCGGCCCTTTTCTTTAAGATGTGATATTACTCTGTTGCCTAGGCTGGTCTTGAACTCCTGGGCTCAAGCAAACCTCTGGGCTCAGCGTCCCAAGTAGCTAGATCTACAGGCATGCACCACTGCACCAGCATGAAGGGACAGTTTGAATTTGGACAGGGAGCGATGGCGAGAGCCCAGCATGGCAGAGGGAGGCCTTGCTGCTAACGAAGACTAGTGTAATCCAGTTTGGCCAGAGGTGCGAAGGGCACGTGGGAAGACCAGTGGTGGTCAGATCAGGGAGGGAAGTCAATGCCAAACGGTGGAGAGACTTGAACAGTAGGTCTTGGGGTTTGGACCTGATTTCTCATGATGTCCTTGTCACTAGGAGTTATTGCAGCTTTTGGAGGGGAAGCCAGGCCTGAGGACTGTGCCTGGGGACGAATGGCTGGCAGCAGTGTGTGAAATCAGCTGGAGGGAATGAGGCTGAAGGCAGGGAGGGCCCGGCTGAGATGAAGGGTCAGAGACACCTCTGGGAAGAGGTTTCTGAGCCATTGCTGGATACTTTGGAGCCATAGGCAGCCGTTCTTCTTGGGCAGGAAGAAGCTCTGTCTAGCTGCTGACTTGGCCTGTCATCTGTTCAGTCTTAACCCAATTGCAGTAGAAAGAATGAGGTTAATTTATTTGCTATTTTGAGCCAGGTGTAGTTGCCCGCACCTGTAATCCCAGCACTTTGGGAGGCTGAGGCGGGTGGATCACCTGAGGTTAGGAGTTCAAGACCAGCCTGGCCAACATGGTGAAACCCGTCTCTACTAAACATACAAAAAATTAGCCAGGTGTGGTGGTGTGCGCTGGTAATCCCAGCTACTTGGAAGGATGAGGCAGGAGAATCGCTTGAACCCGGGAGGCAGAGGCTGTAGGGAGCCAAGATTGTGCCACTGCACTCCAGCCTGGGCGACAGAGTGAGACTCTGCCTCAACAAAAAATAAAAATAAAAATATTTGCTATTTTGCATTCGTTGCTTTGTCCAGCAAGTACTTCTTGAGAGCTGTGGCGTGCCAGGGCCTGTGTTGATGGCAGCAGAGTGGACATCCATCTCTCGCCCCTTCCTTTCCCCAGGTGCGGAAATACAAGGGCCTCGTGGACTGTACCAAGCAGGTGCTGCAAGAGGAAGGTACCCTGGGCTTCTTCAAGGGCCTGTCCCCCAGCCTGCTCAAGGCTGCCCTCTCCACGGGCTTCATGTTCTTCTGGTATGAACTCTTCTGTAACATCTTCCACTGCATGAACAAGACAACCAGCCAGCGCTGAGGGCAGGAAGGACCCCAGGTCGTCCCTGGAGGCAGCCTCCTGAAGGAAGGAAGACTCAGTCTCCACTGAGAGGTGCCACCTGGCCCTTCCCTGCAGGCTAGCTGCCCTGAGCAGGGTGGCGGCCTTGAACCCACCCAGCTGGGACACCACCAGAAGGTCCAGGGCATTCCCAGTGAGCGAATCAGAGGGAATCCAGGACGTGGTCTGTGGTGAACCAACGATCCAACGAGGTAGTGAGAAGGAGCATGAAGTTGCTGGTTCTCCTCTGACCAGCCCACACTCCAAAGGAAACAGACGCCATCCTACACCCGTCTCAGCCAGAACACAACACCCGACAGCTCCTGGTCTGGATGGGGCTGCAGCTGGAGTGCAGAGGGCTGTGCTGGGGCCTCTGCAGGAGTCAGGTCCCCACACTTGGCCTGTTTTTCCCAACCTATTTAATAGACGTTAAAGCTAAATGCACATTCCTTATCCTATTCCTCCATCTCCTCTGGACCATCTCCTTCCTGCTCACAAAGTTTCAGGGAAGGGACTTCTGCCTTCCTCAAATCCCTTGTTCTCCATAGCTGCAGCCCTTGGCAGCTCTGCTAGTGCTGGTGGAGACTCCAGGCTGAGCCAGTCACTTCCTGGGCCCCATGCCCAGATCTTGGTGTCTGCAGACACACCACTACCCAGGCTGTCCTCTCCCAGGACCAGGATGGCCATGGCCGTGGGGCTCAGTGGGACTCCATGGGAAGCAGATCTCAGCGCCTGTGCAGGAAGCAAAGAGGCCATGCCATAGGCAGGCATGGATGAAGGTGCAGCCTTTCCCCAGTCTACAGGCTCCTCTTTCACCCTGGGCTGGGTCAGCCTTGCTGGGTGAGGAGCTGTTGGCAGGACAGGTGGCATCAGTACTCAATGCCTGCTTGGGTGTGTCCTCCTTTGTAGCCCCAGAAGGGCGGGGGCTCTGAAGCAGCCCCCTGATGGGGATGGCAGAAGGAAGGGGCGGGTGGGCAGCCTGGTGAGGGCACAGCTGGTGCCTAGGGTGTTACCAAAGCACAGGGACACCCACAGGTGGAGAGGCAGAGGAGAAACCAGTTCCAGGCTGAGAGGAGGTCTCCAGAACACGACCTTCACCCTTCCCTCCACCTGCCTGGCCTGTGGGGTTGCTTTCACCTGGGGGGAGCTCTCCATTCTGCCTCCCTCTCCAGCCCTGGCCCTGGTGTGTGGGTCCTGGGCTCCACGCACCATCCTTCCCTGCCTCTGGTCTGGGATTTTGGGGTCTGTCTGGGCCCTGAATGCTGGGGCTTCTTGGCTCTGGGCTGCTGGTTCCCAAGGTCCAGGCTGCGGCGGAGTCCGCGGGGATGCAGCTGCCTGAATGTTTTGTTTTTGTTTTTTTTTTTTGAGGCGGAGTCTGGCTCTTGTTGCCCAGGCTGGAGTGTAATGGCGCAATCTCGGCTCACCGAAACCTCCGCCTCCCGGGTTCAAGCGATTCTCTGGCCTCAGTCTCCTGAGTAGCTGGGATTACAGGCACGCGCAACCATGCCCGGCCAATTTTTTATATTTTTAGTAGAGATGGGGTTTCTCCATGTTGGTCAGGTTGGTCTCAACCTCAGGTGATCTGCCCACCTTGGCCTCCCAAACTGCTGGGATTACAGGTGTAAGCCGCCCCGCACGGCCTGAATGTATTTTTTATGAAATTCCGTTAAACTGTATTCTCTTCCTTTCTCCTGCCCATTAGTTTCTTTTGCTGCAGCTGAGCGTTCTTTTCCTCGTCCGTTTTCGGTGACCACTTTGGCCGTTCTTTTAAGAGGAGGACGCAACGCGGGCAGCGCCGGCAGCGCTTCTCCCAGTCCCGTGGCAGGAGCCGCGGCAGTTCTTCCCGCCTTCTAGGTGCCCTCCCGTCACCCAGGGCAGACGCCGGGCGGTGGGGTCCGCGCCCCTTCAGGGGCACTCGCAACACCCGACGGCCGCGAGTTGCCCACGGGGCCCCTTTCTCGGCGCTGCCCCTCGGACCTGAAACTCGCTACGCCCACGTCCTCCTTGGAGCGGGAGGAGATCGTGGCTGGCCCCCGCCCTGCAGCCCCTGCCTTCTCTGCCTGGGATGGAGCGGGGAACGTGGTGTGACCAGGGCAGATACCGTCTCTCCTGCCACCGTGTCCCCACCACACCCTCTGCAGGCTTCTTCCACGCCGCGCGGCCCAGCGGTGTCTTCCGCGCCCTCAGCCCCAGTGCACCTGAGCTCGGGGAGGGCCGGGTGCGGGGCCATGCGCAAGACCGAGGAGCTGGCGGGTCCGGCGTGGGCCCGGACAGGGCCGGGGCGCACCGGGTGAGGAGGGGACAGGCCGAGCGAGCTCCACCTGGTTGGGAGTGGCAGCGTCGCAAGGTCCTCCGCGTCTCCGCCGGGGCCCCATGCGGGCGACTCGGCTTCCGGGGCGGCCGGGCGGCCAGGGCAGTGCCGCGGGGGCCCGGCAGGTGGCGCGGGCGAGCCGGCCCTTCCCCGGCGCCGCGCGAGGAGATGAGCTCACTGCGGCCCCGGCAGCGCCTGACGCGGGTCGCGCGCTCCCAGACTACAGGCGGCCCCGGGCACGCGCGCGCGCCGCCGGTCCGGCAGGTGGGTCCAGCTGCCCACGCCGCCTCTCCAGCCTGCGGGGACGCTGGACCTTGGGGTCCGCAGTCCACCCTGTGCCGCCGGGAGGGGCGCGGGGGGAGCGGCCGAGAGCTGGAGACCCCGAAGGCGCCTCCTATGGCCAGAGGGGAGCCTCCGGCGGGGAGCCACCTCTCGAGGGCGCATCATCCTGTCCCCCCACCCCCCGTAAGAGGAAAGATCCAGAATGGAGCTCAGGAATTAGGAGTCTCGAGTGGGTAGGGCCGGGTTGCTGCCACTTTGGGGCCGGTCCGACCAGTCTGTCCTGGGGAGAAGCCGGCCGGGCCGGGGAGTTCAGGTTGCGCCTGGCCGAGGCGGCGGACAGGGCGCAGGCGTCCCCATCCGCGCAGGCCGGCCGCACTCGGGGGGTGCAGCAGCGGGTGTTTAGACCGAAGGACTCGGCGAAAGCCGGGAAGAGAGGGTTGGAGAGAGAGGTTCGGAGCCCTGCTGGGGACAGAGCCGCGCCGCTTGAAGTTCCCACCCTGACCCTCACACGGCATCATGCCGGGCCAGCAGCGTCCGCCCGCACACACCCTGCCCAAGTCCACCCCTGCCTCCTGCTGGGACTAGAGGGTGGGTGCTTTCCTGCTTCAGCTTCTTGTGTAATCCCACAAGCGTGGGGTTTCTAAACTGAGCAGCAGGTGCCTGGCTGATGCCCAGGCCCCTCCAGAAGCCAAGCCTGGTGGGCTTTCAGCCAACCACAACCGTTGCACGCCACGGACTGCACAGGAGCCCCTGTCCCGAGCGCTGTCAGCCCCGCCCAGGGCCTGCAGGACAGAACCCGCCCTGCGCTCCACACCTGAGGCCGTTCCCTTCGCCTCTTTTCCCCAGGTGCTGTCCTTAGGCCCAGCCCAGTCAAGAGCTACCGGGGCTGGCTGGTCATGGGGGAGCCCAGTAGAGGCTGAAGACAGCACTCAAAGGTGAGCACGGGAGCCCCTCCTGAGCTGGGATCAGGAGCCACAGAGAAGGGCCCCTGTAGGCAGCACCAGAGGGCT